ATAGGAAATAAGGAAATAAAATAAGGAAAATGATAGATGCTACAAATGAACTAGAGGAAGCCATAAAGCTATTAAATAAGCATTATCTCTTCTTCCTCCACTGCTTTTCGATTATGTAGTCTTTATACCTCTAATGTTTCTAGGTTTCTTAAGCCCAGATTGACAGTGTTTGGGAATCTACAAAGAGGGTTGTTTTAAGGGATGATGATTTCTAATTCTGTGTGTGTGTCACACATTTGAGTGGAAATACACTGCTGATTTAGATTGATATGTTAACTGCCTTGTACATTATTTTATTTTAATTAGCTTTTCATTCTTCCTGAATCTGTATTAAATGTCACCTTTTCACTTTTATTTTTAAGCCATCTTGCATGTGCAACCTTGCAAGCTCTTCATATRCCTAGTGAACTGAAGGCACATCAAGATGGACCTGCTTGCACTATTTTCCTAATGCTAGGAAAAACAGAGGAGGGAGTTAGAGTCAGTCACTCAATCCAGTTGCTGCCCCTGTGCTGCACAGGGATTACTTCCCCCTCTCTAGCTGGAACTCAAGTGAGCTCATTCCAGCTCTCTGCCTCTCTGTTGCCACTGAAAGCCATTTCTGTAGCCAGATCCTTTGAGCTGGTGGATAATGTTGTCTGTAGTTCGATAGCTGTGATAAGAAATAGYGCATAAAGCATACACAGCCAAAGATTTCTGTTTCCTAAAGGGTGTTTTTGTATATCTGTCCTGAGTAGTAGAGTACATTATTGCAGAGCCTGGACAAGTGAATGGGAAAATTAGGAGTTAGCACCTCATCTGATTGTGATGAAGGTATTTGTAGTGCTTGAATTACAAAGAGGATAGTTATTTATGCAAAAGGAAGATAAAACTCAGTGTTCTAGGTAAGTTGAATTGTGTTGGTCTAAAATTGAGGGGATAGGTGTGATTTTGTTTTTGTGTATTTTTTGTTTTGTTTTTGTTTTGCTTTTACAGCTAAACAGATTTTTCTGAATAGCTCTAAGTTTTACAGCCATCCTTCATTCACAATAACCTGTTTATTCTGGATTTTCCAGAATGGAGTGTCTTTTAGATGGTAAATTTTTGAAGAACTATTCCTTAGATTAATCTGAGCAAAGGACAAATATTCTATCACAGTAACAACTATTCTGAGTGTAACTGCAGAAGGCTTTGAGGCTTTTTTGTATTAGCTGTAATATCSTATGGTAGAAACTTAAAATATACAGACAACTAGACTCTTGTTTTTAGCAATTCATTTTTTCCTCTAACTGCAGGCAGCAGAAGATGGCAGAAAGAGAAAAGAGAGCAGCAGAACAACAACGAAAGAAAATGGAGAAAGAGGCACAAAGGCTAATGAAAAAAGAGCAAAACAAAATCGGTGTTAAACTTTCCTAACAGAAATCAGGCATGAGTGGCAGTGCCAGTGAAAAAGAATTCCAGCTCTACACAAATGCATTATTGGTATTGATTTAAGTATTTCTAGGACTTGAACGCACTGCTTGGTTTTAATGCATTCTTCGGGTCATCTTGGAAGCCAGAAGTCTCCTAAAATACCTTGAACTACTAGTGGACAGATCTTTAATGGGGCGGGGGGGGAGCCACACACAAAATCATGCCTTGATGGAATGATGTTTCCTGCAATAGCTCTATTCCGGCATCCTTCTCTTCAAGAAAAGTGATTGAACAGGAATGTTGATTGAGAGACGCTCTTAATGAACAGCTCAAGCTTAGGAAAAGGAGTGTAAATATTCAGTGGTGGGGAATCTACTGTATTGTCTGTGCTTACCTGAAATATGTAATTAAAGAGTTTTAAAGAACCTTTGCTTCATGCTTGATATAAGATTGTCTGGTTTTGCCTTTCTTACACAAGTAAAAATACTCTAGTGTTTTCCATGGGCAATCGTATTGACCTGTGCAGAAGAAAATTGCTTCTCATGGATGACCTGCACACAGGTCCTCTGGTTCTACCTGCACGCACGACCTACCCTCACAGTATGTCTGTGAGATTTTAAAATTATCTGTTTCTTTTAGCTGCACTGATGAAGTATGGAGGTACAAGTTTCAGTTGTTTCAATATTGTTCTTACTTGAGTAGAGAAAGAAAACATAGACGGAGAGAAACCTATATGGCCTATTCATGATAAAATTAATTGGAAGCTATAGCTCATATTTAAAAAAAAAAAAAAAAAAGTGCTTATTTATGCAATTTCTAGGAGATTGCAAATAGTCTCTATTTGTTGAGAAATAAGAAATCATAGAATCACAGAATCCTTAAGATTGGAAGGGACCTCCAGAGATCACCTAGTCAAATCGTCCTGCACACGCAGGGTCCCCTGGAGCGCGGGGCACAGGGCTGCATCCAAGCGGGTGTGGAAGGTCTCCRGAGAAGGAAACTCCACAGCCTCTCTGGGCAGCCTGTTCCAGGGCTCTGTCACCCTCACTGTTCAGATTTTTTTTTTCTGAAGTTCCTGCAGAACTTCTGGAGCTTCAGTTTGTGGCTGTTTCCTCTAGTTCTGTCAGTGACCACCACTGAAAAGACCACCACATCCTCCTCACTGCTTCCCATGAGGTATTTATAGACACTGATCAGGTCCCCCCTCAGCCTTCTCCAGGCTGAACAGGCCCAGCTCCCTCAGCTTTCAGCAATGATTCTCAACCAAATCATGGGCTAGCGAGTGAAGCATTTGAAGTGCAGACCCTGTGTGCGTTAGGGGAACGGCTTCCTCTTTTAGCTGTACGTGTGTCCAGAGGCGCTGGCTGCTGTTTCAGGGCCGTGCGGYGCCGCTGGCAGCCCCTCCAGCGGCTCTGCTTTGCCCTTCCCTGGCAGACACCCCCTTTCCCTGTTCCAGTCTAGACAGCCGAGCACAGCTGCTTTAGACCTGACAACCATCTCGCCTGCCATGGTCCTCAGTAAAGGTTAAAATGACCTGCTGTTCTTGCAGGTAGTATTTTGTGTATTAAAAACCTAAGTGTTTGTATCTGCTTTCTCTTATTTATTCTACTAGCTGCGCCTTCCATCTGTTCTTTACCCTCAGCAGTTGTCAGAGCATTTTGCTCAAGCTTTATGTAGCTTCCCCTTTCGTAATATCTTTTTTCCTCACCTTGAAGTCAGTGAGGTATCGTGCCTTGTGTTCGATGCCATTTTCACTCTTCCCTGTTGCTGTAGCTGCCTCCTTTCCTCTTCCTGCACTTCACCTGTTTGCTGTTTCTTTTCTTGTTTTTCTTTAGAGAGATCTGGTCTTGTTTCCTTTCAGAGTTATGTCTGACGGTGCAGGACTGACCTGCGGTGATGACTGGAACTTCCTTCTTCCACCCTGCTGCCAGTGTCAGTATTTGGGTTGTCCTGTGCTCCGTTTATCTATCTGGAAGTTTGGAAGTAACGTGTGTTTGTTCTGCTCATTTAGGGTGCTACATGAATAAAAAACAGCCTTCATTCCAGCGCATTTCTAGAGCTGGGCTCTGGGAGATGTAAGGATTAGGTCATTTTGGGGAAGGAGAGGGAAGATGAGAAGAGTTTTGTGAATGTGGGCATAGGTGAGAGCGCAAGTGAATCTTCRGCAGTGAATAAAGGGGGCAGCCCCTCTGGTGCTTCAGGTTAGGCACTTCAGGCCTCTCCTTATGAAGGACATCCTGGGCTACCTGCATCCTTGCAATATGAAGGTTGAAAGGGAGAGGCTTGGAAACGATCTGAATTTTGAGATCAGGACAAGGATTTTTATTGATCTTGTGACGAGGACGCTGTAATATCATTAGAATCAACATCATCTGAGCAAAGTTAAATACATTTTGAGAGATGAGYGAACAGACAATTTTCAGGGACAGGAAACAAAATTTTCAGAGACAGGAAGCAACGCTGATGTAGTTATTCTAATGCTAATATGATGCTCAAGACATAGGCACTAACGCTGCTGAACACAGCCTGCTGGAATCACGGTTTGAAGTGACTTCAACCCACTGAATTTTTAAAAGGTGAGTGTAGGGAGCTTTGTGTGGTTTTGGTGCCTACTCACTACAAAAGAAATCCRTACAATCGCAACTGGTTGTCTCTCTTAACACTGAAGATGATTTTTTTTTTCTATTTTACCAGCACTCAAAGTGGATTTTGCTTAAACAGTGGAGCTAAAAGATACTGTAATCCTGCAGGAACCCACTTAAATCTTTGTTGCATTTAACTGGAACCCATGCTTCAGAACACAGGGATCACAGGAATATATATGGTGACTTTCTCCTGTCACGTTGTGTATCTCACCCTCCTGAGCGCTGTAAAGTCTCCCAAGGTGCTGGCTGCTCATTTCTGCCCTCTTGTACTTTTACTACCATCTCCCTCTTGTCCCACCACAGATCCATGTGTGAGTGCGGAGCGGGACGTGCTGCTGGCTGAGCTGCAGGGGCTCCCGGCGAGGCGACCTCAAGCCAAGAGGTGTTGGCCAAAGTCTGTGTGGGGCCAGGCTAACGGGGTCACGCTGCCCTCCTCTGAGCTACACACACATCTTGGTTTTGGAGAATTTGTGYTCTAAGGCCAGGCACCGCTCGGAGTGCATCCCCAGACTGTGTGACTCAGCTTTGTGGAGAAGACTTTCTGGATCTTTCTCAAGTGCCGGGAAGACTGATATCCTCCTGGAGAGCTGAAATACAGACTGAGAGGTCCCCAGAAGGGTGTAGGGTTAGGGATTAGGGCTCTTGAACCTGCTCACGCACAATGCAGGTGTCACGGAGGACGATGCCGCTCTGCAGACACCCCAGAGCCCTCCTCTCCTGCCCAGGGCCTCCTTGAAGCCATGCTCAGGTTTTCTCCATCCCGTTCTGTTCTCAGGGTGCTTCCAGGTCCTTATCTGCCCATACAGATCCTCCTCCCACTCCGTGTGCGCCCCTGTGGTATCCCCACCACGAAAATGAATATTCTGTTGAATGCTTTTGCTGAAATAAAAACCAACGCTCATGCTTTTTTTAACATGCTTACTGTATTTTTAATAATAAACATATTTTAGAATAAAGCAATTAAATAACCAATAAGTTAATAGACAATACATTTATAAAGAGTATTTCACAGGGCTCAAATGACTATCAGGTTCCAATACATTTAAGACCTTAAAACAACATTAATATTCAAAGTGTATCCACGTCCACATTTATCATTGTAACAAGATTCAAGACTCCCAACAACTTACAATTTTGGTTACAGTCCCCTTAAAAGCACAAGACCAGTGGAACGCTCGAGCAAATGTGTAATTTAAGAGCACTACACGAGACAGGCATAAGCTATGTGCTGGAAGCTGCCTTGGAAATACGGATTTGCTAAATCGAATTGACAATTCAGACTACAAATGGAAAGCGCCAGCATGCTTTCAAGAGTACACGTGTGATACACTTAGTGGAAACAAGTCTCCATGTCACTTAACGCTGCAGTTTCACAAATGTTTTTGGTTACTGCTGCCTAAGGAAAATTCCCGCCCTCTCTGGCATTTGTCCCTGCTTGCATCCCTGAGCCAGCAGAGAGGCTTCGTGCACTTGCTCAGTGACGCAGCCAGGGAAACAGACTGACCTTTAAAACCGATTGAGCAAACACGTACACAGAGTGCTTGGTGTGACCCTCCTTCCTTCTCCTGGTTGCTTCTYGCTGTGCTGATGTGAGGGAACCCAGAAGATACCAGCACAGGGGAGGGCCACGTGGCYGGCAGCAGACAGGGCTGTTTCTGTAGGCAGCAGTACTGGCTTGTGCCAGTGAAAAACATCTTGTGGAACTACAGCGTTGAACCTCTCTGTTGTGAAACAAGGAACATGTTTTGAACCAAGTTATAGTGCAAATCAAATAGTCACGAGCAAAATGATGGACTCTTACATAAAATACTATATCTTTTTATCATCTATCTAAATCCTTCTTTCCCTCTTCCCCAGCCAATCGRTGCCCAGTAACAGATGGAATTTAGGTTTTGTTTCTGAAGGGCGCACGACGTAAAGAGTGCAGGGCCACCAAGCAGCAGCCACGAAGTAATGCTCCAATATTATAAATGGGATCTATTCCTCCTCTCTGAGTACTGAATGCCCACATGATGCTTGGTACAACAGGGGCTGCTACAGCCAGAACATCTACAAGGAGACGGCTACTCCAGTATCTCTTCACAATTCCTGTCTGAGAGAAAGTATTGACGTGCTCAAAAGCTTGCCCATGAGGCTCTATAAAATCAAGTTCTTTCATGACCCGGTTTTCGTTAACTTCGTAATCCGCTGYGCTGCATGGAGGCTCCATAGGAGACAAAAGAATGGCAGAGTTTGGATCACTTGGAGTTAGGTCTATTACTACACCAGAATCACTGAGGCTTTCAGAAGGAAAATCATCCAATTCTTTCAGCAGGAAAGGTGGATCAACAGGAGTGACCTCTTGAGACCTGAGGATATTCTGAATGAGCTGCTTCACATCTAGGTTATATGGCACCACATCTGTCTGGATGGCCTGTTCCACCACCATCATGTCGTTGCTGCTTTCCTCCCTTTCCAGGGAAGAAAGAGATTTTTCATCCGGAACATTTTCAAGTACTTCCTGACTCCCAGCAGAACTGAAGAGAAGTTGATCACCCAAGTCAGAAGTTGTGGTAGTTGAACCCTCTTCATATGAATCAGTCCCGTTAGTCTTGTCTTCGCTTAGGAGCAGCCCGCTGTCTTCCACCCCCGGCAGTGCTTCCCGCTCTTCTGCAGCTGGGCTCTCTGGCATTTTGGAATCCAACTCTACTGACTTCTCCGGTGAGTCGCACATGTAGTCCAGGCCCTGCTCATCCCGCAGAGAGCCGCTCTGCGCCATCTCCATGCTGTGAAGCAAAGACTCCAGCTTCTTGTTTTGAATGTTTATGTCTATGAAGTATTTCTGGATGCCTTTGTCTTTCTCAGCCAAGCTATCCTTCATTGTTTCAATAACCTGCTTGAGTTGCTTAATTTCCTTTTTCGCTTCTTTTAAGGCCAGCTGTGCCTCCACACGATGACACTCTTCTTCAATCCAGTCTTCCCTCATGCGTCCCAGCTGAGCCTTGAGCTCTTGTATTTCTGTTTCCCTGCAGCAAAACAAAAATTTTGTAACTCTTTTGCTGGTGGGTCAATTAAAGAAACAGAGACTGACCATTTTTTAAATTCTTTAGTTAAAACTTCTGTGAGGACCAAAAATGAGGAATATATTCTGGACTCACCCCCCTCAAATTCTTCTGAATAAATCTAACCTCATCTTTATAACTCTGATTTCTGAAATGGAATGTACCTTTCTTTAAGTTTGCTCTCAGATTCTTTCAGCTTTGTTTTCAGATGTCGCACCGTAACTTCCTTCTGCTGCAGAGGAGTCAAATACTGCTCTGGACTTGGTGCCTTAATGCCATGGTTCTCACCACAAGACAGGTATCTTCCTGATCGCCTAAGAAGAAATAAAACAAACAAATCAAACACCACATAACATCACTCCGACAGTTCCTCAGTCTTGRCAGAAAGATATCACATTGACTGATACGAAGGTGAGTTTACACTTGACTCATTTGAACTTCTTTTACAGTCAGTACAAGTTACTCAGTCTGGCAAATCAAAGTACTTGAGGAAACTGCTGATTTTTGRCTAGATTAAAAAAAAATAGTTTCTTGTACTTGGTTTCAGTGCAAATACATCAAATATTTGACTTCAAAATATCTAAACATCCCTGCATCTAAAATGGGTGGAGTGTTCTGTTCACAGTAGACAGCAAGGACATTTGCAAGAGCACCTGGCTGTAGATGTTGCTGAGTATGTTATTTTAAGAATTCAGTTTGACTCCACCTGTGAACTATGAAGTCAAGACAGTTTCATCCTGTCTATCTTTAGGTGTATATCCTGGATGGAAGCCACACTCAATTCAGTGGCAATTCTGTCTCTGTAACAGGGGAGATGTCCTATGGCATGTATCTGTTTTATTTTCTGTACATGAAGTTGTGTTCCTTAGGTAGGTGTGTAAGTCTAAGTTCAATTTTTGCATGAGTATATAATATGTTCTGTACCACCTAAAAAACACCCTGAAGCAAAATGGAGCCTTTTATATGAAAGAGCCAGTAGAGCCACATGCGATTTGATGGTATGAAACCACATGAAAGATCCTGCCTTGGAGTGAAAACCAGSTCCAGGAGCCCTTTGACTAAGAGTAGCACTGAGTTTTACAGTGCTGAAACAATCAAGCTCTCACATTGGGAGAAAAATGTGGAATGCAGCAACTTGCTGATTGCCCAACCACCAGTATGCCAAGTCACTGCTATGCTGAGCAGCAAGATGACTTGCTCACCAAGCCAGGCAGCTGGTTCCACATTTGAGGGTGGAGAAGGTAAGTCAGTACACTGAATAGTGGAKGGTGACATTAACACTTGCCTCATGACTGGGCTGTTGCCACTTCCTTTGTAGGAGCCTGAGTTACTGCTACTAGTTGAAGAAAACCCATAATCCTGGGGGTTGTTACCAGGATTCAGCTGACTTCTGTAGAGTGCTAACAAAAGCTCCTTTTCACGGGAGATAGGGGGGCTGCTCCCAGACTTGCTGGATGAAGATCCGTTATTCCGACCACAAGAGCCACGACTAGAGGGGGAAACAAAAATATTAAACATATTAGAATAATCCTTATCACACAACCCATCCTATTATTTATTTTAAAAATAACTTTGTCTATGGCTGTCTCAAATACATAAATAGTAGTGAGTGGCTGGGAAGAAAGAAGGTCTTGATGTCATCAGCTATTGCACAGTCTTTTACTGACTGTGAGGGTCCTAGTTTGAATTATGTGATCCAGGGACACCCCTGGCACTTTCACATTTCCCTGTTTATAGCACAGCTCATAGTGATTCCATCAGCTCCTCCATGTTCTCTGATCCTGACTCCTTTAAGTAATTAGAGGACTGCAATCTTCACTTGTTCCAAAAGAATCACRTTTCAGCATTTCCTTGCCAGGCCTGCAAAGAGATGCCTGTCCTTGGAGCGAGATGGGGCTTGCTGCAAGAGCGCTTTCACAGCCCTCAGCAAGCAGCCCGAGGGATCACAGCGTGCACTGAAAACACATTTTGTTTGAGCCACTGTTCTTTTGTGCCTTTGGCATACTGGGTGCTTCAGCTGTCATTGTTAGCTATTCCTTTGCTTAGATACAGTGCGAACCCTACTGAGGGAAGGCTGAAATGCTATTAAAAGAGACAAAGAAAAGTACAGTTCTTATTTTTCTTCCACTTTCACCCATACATATCTACCTTTATTTTCCCAGTCTTTATTAAATAATCTGACTGTTGATTGTGTGTGTTCGAAAGCAATTCATATCTGAACTATTCAACGACTGCCCAAGAACTGGGGCACTCTGAAAACAGCTTTTAGAGCTGCATTTTTGTTTTGTTCACTTGATTTGCTCTCCTACTGTGCTGACTGTAGAGACCTTCAATCTCTCTCAAAAAAAATTTGTTGTTCTAAATGGTAATGAAGGAAAAAGGGCAGGTTTCAAAAATATGGAAAAAGGCAAACCCAGCCAATGAAGGAGAAGGATAGAGCATAAAAAATAAATACCACAGAATTAGGAAGCAAAATCACATCTTAAAATTGTCTGAACTGGTTTCCTCCCTTCTCTAGAAATGGAACACTTTATAAGGAACAGATGCTTGAGTGGCTGTGCTGCAAACCTTCATCCCAGTGCTGTGGCTTGGGGGATTTTATAATTATTTTACAATAAAGTGCAAGACTGTGGTTTGCGACAGCATTGAAATGTTTCGTAGCGAGTTAAGTCAAACAGTTAAAATGAATCTATTATGAAGGAGATATCTCTTTTTGTTCTGTACTGTACAGCATCTTTTTTTTTGCGTAAGGAAGAATCTGCACATAATGTAGTAACAGCAATGCATTTGGAGAAGCATTATTACAGGGGAGATCCAGCCAATTAAGTAGGGCAGTATGCTCTAATTTAAAGCTATATTTAAACACACAGCCAACATACGCAATTACATAGTCTCTTACTGAAAAAGTAAAGGTCATTTTAGGACTTGCCATTAAATTTGGTGCTGCTTTTCCTCAACCAATACCCTACCGGCAAGATTTACTCTAGGAAGAGCTTAACTGCTGTTTATTTTTCTAACAGTGTCCTGACACAGACAGAAAGCTCTTGGCTAAGCATCCTTCTACCCTCCCTGTACGTGTGGAGACGCCCGTGTGCCTGGAGCATATGGGCATCCCGCTGTCCCTGCCCGGCTGCCTGCCAGCCCCGCTCCGGGACTGCACAAAGGGCAGGAAACAAATCCTTCAGCTTGAACTCCTTCCACCCACTCAAAACCTGCACCCAGCAGGGACTGCGTGGGCAGAGCGCAACGTGCGCTGCTCGAGCCAACCCCCTGGGAATCTGCAGCAGTTCTCATGTGAGACAGAGAAAACTTACAGAAATCTTGTATGTAATGCTCATTTACATGACAATGTTTTTTTTTTTTTAATTTGTGTTTAGTTTATTCATATAAAGGTTACATAAGTGCTACAGAAATGAGCATAAAAGACAAAATTGTCAGCTTCTTCCTACGGAAAATAAGGCCATGATCTACCTGTCGAGGTGCTCTCTGAGCTGACAATTTATCACAGAAAAAAGACATAATGGTACAAAGCCCTCCTGTTAATATCCAGCTGTTTCTCCCCCTATTTCCACCAATGCCTTTTTTACTATAGTTGGCTGAATTGCAAATGCTCATTATGAATAAATAAAAAGGTGCTGGCGAGCTGATCTTACAGCACACTGACAATTTTTGTTCTCCAAATACCACATTTTTGCTCTCACATCRCAATTCTGACTGATGTAAGTACTGCCAGAGAGCACACTGTCCTCCAAATTGTTTTAAAACTCGCAGTAGCAATACTATAGTTACTAGCTGCAAGGCATTAAGTAGTAGTCTCTCTCTGTAGTACTTGAAAAACGTAGAGCACAAGATGCTTTGCTTACTTGCGAGAAAAAGAAGATCTCTTGCTTCCAGCAGCAGACATATGGATTTCAGGAGCTGAAATACTGCCTGTGCTGCTTGAAGAGCTAAAATCAGCTTCACTCCCTAGAAAGGAAAAGGAAAGAGTACAACATGATGGAAATTATAACTCAAAGGCTGTTCCCAAACKAACAGTGAATCACAAGCATCCTTCCTTTGTCTGTCTTGTGTGAATTTTAAAAGTTGCATGAATTTTCAAATGTCCCTGGGGACAAGCACTGGAAACATTCCAGGTTTTCAACAATTCCTCAAAATTGAGAACTCAACAAGAGCAGCCAAAAAAAGAAGGGCACAAAACTTGTACTACAGAAACCATTTTAAAAGTAGGCTAAAAATATTTGTTATGACAATGTGTTTACTTTCTCACAATTATCAATATACGAATGAGGTTGCAGGGTTGCAGAGTTCACAGTGATTAAGAACATTTGATTGTAACTATCTCTCTTCCTGTAAACCACCAACCTGTCCTTTTCTGCTGAGATGACATACACGTTTATAGACTACTAGAACAAATAGATGTATATATCTATATACGTATATATGTGTTTGTGTATGTGAGTATATATACGTATATATGGGAGTATATATATGTATTTTGATTTTCATGTGGCACAGAAGCATAAGACAATTCTAACAGATTTTAAATAATCCAATAATAATGTGAGGCTCTTGAGTGCTTCTTGGCTCTTAAGTCACACTATYTTATTACTGACTTTCTATGGATTACAGTTTTATTTTCCGAGCTCTGTTTTATACACAAAAAAATGTACTCCTTTTGCCAAAGCCAGAAGGTAAATTTACTAAGAGAATCCTATCATCTGGAAGAAAAAAGGTTGTTAGCTTTTCTTAATCTCATTTTGTCACACAAATGGCAAATGTTATGTGTATCCACATCCAATGCTCTAGAGTCACAATGATGGACTGTACCTCTATTTCAGAAATAGAAATAACTTTCTGACATGCTTTAATAACAGCTCATCAGCAGGAAGAAAAACCATAGTTTACCCAGCAYCTTTCAGGCATTTCAATGCACCTTGCAGCTAGAGACTATCCCAGCATCATCCAAATCATATCCAGAAGTTGTGGAAGGGATTTGCCCAAGACCATTGAGCACGTGTGTGGCACCAACCCCTGTGAGCTCCCTGCTCTCTGCAGAAGAGCTCTTCTCTTTTTTTTCTTTTCTTTTCTTTTCTTTTCTTTTCTTTTCTTTTCTTTTCTTTTCTTTTCTTTTCTTTTCTTTTCTTTTCTTTTCTTTTCTTTTCTTTTCNTTTTTAATTTTTCTCACCTCTCTAAGTCACTTTTCCACGAGGGGGAGATGCAGCTTCAATTTCCACTGTGACAAATAAAACCTCTAAAATCAGAGACAGCTAAACCTTTAGCACAGTTGACTGGTCCATCTTAGGCTCCTGAATGCTCTGGATTGCAAAAAAAGGCACTGTTAGAGGATGCTTTCGCACACACAGCCTTAAGCTGGAGCAATCACTTAGCAAAAGATGTCAGCCACTTATGGTCACAGCACTCTCTGAACATACATGTTCTCATCTAACCCAGTAYAGTTTCCTAATTTCACAAAGTCCAAGTGCTAGAATATGCACTACTCATTACTCCAACCTGTACATTCAATCTCAGAAAGAATTATTCTGTCTTTTTTATCCTTGGCAAGGAAAGCGCTGCCCTTCCTGTGTTTTCTTTTTGCCTGTTTGAATGTTGCAGGATCAAGCTGGTGTCGTGCGTGTGTTCTCTTTTATCAGTTCCAAGTCCATGGGATATAAATCGGATTGCTTTTGTTTACCCATCACAGGCACGGAAGCAAATAAGTTTAAGAAGCTCAAGAACAAACTCAGACTCAGCCTATTCTCAATTATTAACTGGGCTCCCTTCTGATGACTGAATATTACCAAGTCTAATCTCAAAATGCACTGCCTGGTTCTTGAAAACAGTATCTTGTGGATCCAATTTTATTCCTTCCAATCGGTTCCGTACCTGCTATAACATCCCTGAGCTATCAGCTCCGTAGTGACCCRCGTTGTTACAGTCCTAACTGAACAGGGACCACATGCAAAGATAGAGGGGGATGCAGGGGGAGCAACAAAGCCACTCTGTTTCGTAGAATATTTATATCATGCCCGCAAATGCAGATGGCAGCGATCCTCTCCTTGGGGAAACAAAATGACTGCGGGACATAAGGTCCAAGGCCGCAATAGAGTTTTCCTGATGAACAGAACACTCTCCTCTAGGTGATTAAACCCATGCAGAATACTGCTCAGCACCATGGTAATCCCAAATCCAGTTCAACACACAGGACCTCAGACATAGATTTCACACCTCCAGTGTCTGGGCCCCCAACACATTCCCCTCCTTGCAAGATGCCAACAGCTTCTCACAGGCAAATGCTGGCTCTGACACAGAGAACGTGAGCCTGTGTGGAGGCTCCTCTGTGATTACTTAATCAGAGCCGACCACACCATAATCAGATAGTGTTACTGAAAGCATTTCAAGGAAGCAAGGCTTAATAATAGCCTCTCCCTGACCTGTTTGGCTTGGAACACAGTGCTGGGAAGGGCTGCCAAGCTAGGTACTGCAGATAAGATTTAGCAGAGCCCGGAAATGCAACTGCCTCCACTTCTGAGGTTTCTGAAAGCCTGAAACACATTTGCAACAGGAGCTGCTTCTTTGAGGCAAGAACTAACCTCTCTGGCCCCAATTCCACTAACAGTTATGCACATCCTTTATTCGTGCCTAAAATTAGGCACTGTGTATTTATAGGATCTTYCAGGGTTTTTTTGTAAATGAAAGAGGTCACAGTTAGTGGTGTTGCCAAGTGTGACAGCTGATGTTCAAGGCAGCTCACACACAGATGTACTTGACAGTAATGGTACTAAGAGATTTTAAAACCCTTTCTCCCCTCTGGTGAGCATTTCTCTATAAAATAAGGCATTTACCCCTGTACAGTATAAACTGTAACATAACCTCATGCATGTGAAAAAGTTCCAAATGATTAGACTAAAATGCATAAAAAAGAGGAAAAGTTCAAGCAATATTTGTAACTGAAATGATGACAGCTGATCAGCTCATCTTTAGTTCTAATTTTTCTAAGCAGCACCTCCAGGAAAGACAAAAGCTTCTGACTTTATGTTGTTCCTGACAGAATATTTGTGTACATAACAAGCAATGTGAACCATTCTTCACAGGCACTCATACACGTAAGGCAAAGGAGGTGAAAAGAAGTGGTGAGCCTGCTTTAGCATTTCAGGCTTTTTCTTCAGAAAACTCCCTTAAAAACGACCAGTTCCAAAAGCAATGCCTCCTGCTGGGAAAAGCACTTGCTTGCCAGTGTGATGAGGGGTCTTAGACCTTACTTATTTGACTTATTATTACTATACTTAAGACTTACCTTAGACTTACTGTTCCATTTTATGTGAAACTGCAGATTCAAACAGAAGTCATCCTGGGAGCAAGGAGCAGGAGGGGTGTCCCCTGCATGTTGGTGCTCTTATCACTCGGCTACAGGGGCTCCTGATGCTCTCCTGCYGTTGCCTCCTGCTCTCCACTGCTATTGTCTGGAGCACGTGGGATGTGCTGGGGATACCCAAGGGGTTTTTGCTCTCAACTCAGACCTCTCATGAGCAAATGCCCTAATGGCTCAGCCGCATTCACACTCAGGCTGATGCGAATCCTGCCCTTCCCTCGTAATCCAGGGCCGCCTCACCACTTGCTTACTGTTCCAACCAAAAGAACAGCTGACCGTAGGGTCCGTAAGAGCTGGTGGCTTGGGCATTGGCAAACGTGCCATCAGAAAGGTGCAAAAATTTCAGTCTGTGTCTCCTGTAAATTATTCCAGCCTGCTGGATGAGCAGATTTCCAGCCCCATGTCAGATTTCAAGCCCAAGCTGCAACACAGATTCTAGTTCCCTGCATTTCRATCTGCACTCCATGTACAGACCATCTCTTTAATTCACACTGCTGGTTGTGTGATCTAAACTGATTTGTAATTTGGATTTTTGATCATCTTGTTGGTTTACTTGTCTTACTTTGGAAAAAGGTTCATTATCAATTAATGTAGTCAAGTTCTTATCAAACAACTTTCTGATCTCATCCAATAGTCTCGACAGTAATCTAAAATGCATTAATGCAAATTAGGAACACTGCAGATCTTAAAATGAATACAGAATGTGACTTGTGTATGGTGTAAAACCACAGTCAGTTAAACTCTTCCCYAAACACACTAATCTCTACAAACTAATTACTGACATTGGCAGCGAGCTGTAATGTCTATTCTTCATATTGCTGTGATCTAAGACTGTTTTCTATAATTGTGGTTTTAACTCATGGATTTGTAGGGTAGCTACAAGAGGATGACAGAACAGACAAAGAGCATTTCATTTTTTTTTTTCTGCTTTAGCTATTTCAAGGAGATCTGTCTTAASGAACTCAACCTAACCTGGGTATTTTTTGTACTTATTTTATACATAYTGTATATATAATTTGAGCTGTTCCAACAACACTTTTAAAATGGCTCCCATATTTTTCCTCTTTAGAGCATGAAATAATCCTTGTGAGGGGGGAACTTTTGTTCACTGAGCAGAAGGGAAGAGTGTGGGGAAACTTGGGAATCTTCCCGCTCAAACATGGACGCTCCTTGGATCATAGTTGGAGGGATGCTACTTTGCTGCAGCAACTAGCACCATATTTATTCCTTCACTATAAATATAGAGATTGGGTATTTGAACAATATACTGATAGTGATATGATACTCAGCTTGCATTTGACAGTTTTATAAAAAGATGTGTAAATGCACCTATACACAGATGTCTTTTATGAGTAAGTGTAATCTGTCACTCCAGGAGAAATTTTAATATATCTGGCATGGAGCTATTTGATCTATTCCAAGGGAAATGAATAGGCTGGTCAGGAGTATTTTTAGGAAATGTCATCTTTGGCAGGCATGACTTAGCAGTACCCAGAAAGGGAGTGAACTTCATCACTGCCTGGGAAAACATCCCAATCCTCAAGTCACTTTCGTGACAGTTTTTTAACATCGGCCTTTCAGAGGCCATTCCAATCCA